GCTCTACCAACTGAGCCAGCCAGGCACCTCTGGACGTCTGTTCTAAAAACTGCCAAATACTGTCTAATATAAGGTAATGTAAAGCGCCGTGTCAAAGTACACATTTAATGGACTACGCTGAAGAAAATGAAATCCATTTATGAGGTTTTTTTTTTTTTTTTCCTCCCCATTAAAGGAAATGAACGGCCGGAATGTTCAGCCCATTCCTGAGAGTCTGAGTGCTAATGAGGTAAAATAAATGAAATAAAACTCTCACGGTTTCAGGAAAGCCTTCTCCATCCTCTTTATATCACTTGTTCTCCCCAGTTGCCAAAGCAGAGTCCGTGCCTCCCGGGATGCGTCTGCCTGAGCCGTTAGGACTGTGCATTTGCGTCCTGTCCCTCCTGGTGCCCAGAGCTCGTGCGATGTGGCATTGAGAGGAGGCATTCACAGAGGAAAAGGAACCCCTGAGGCCTAAATATCTCCCTGCAATGGTAGCAGTGTATCTATCCACTTGCACCAGGACTCCTGGTCGAGTGCGAGGAGGTTAGTTCAACTACACACAGGTCTGCTCCGCAAAATACTGCCGCCCACATCCCACGGTGTCAACCCTTAATCCTTCCTTCCTGACCCTTCAGACCCCATTGCCGACAATCAGACAAGGAAGGGGGTCCCACGGAATGACTAACGAAGACGAAAGCCGAGCACAGCTTTGTTGCACTGGGTAACCGTCAACCCACGAGACACGAGCAGCCGCATGTAGAATATTGTCTCTTTTCTTAGGTGTACTTTAGAGACAAAATGCATTTCTCAACCGTGTGAAAACTTTAGGCAGTCAGCAAAGCAAGCATTTGGCTTTACTCACCATAGTGATGCTATTTTCATTTTAAACTTTATCTCTTGCACAGGCACGCTGAACAGAAAGGAGTTAACAAAATCTGCATAGTCATTACAGAAATTATAATAATAAACAAGATGACGTAACGGGAAAAAAAATAAACCTTCCTGATCTATTTTGAAAAGAAGGTACCTTTTATTTATTTTTACTTATTTATTTTTTTACATTTATTTATTTTTGAGAGACAGAGCACTAGTGGGGGAGGGGCAGAGAGAGAGAGAGAGAAAGACAGAGAGAGAAAGGGAGGGAGAGGCAGAAGCCAAAGCAGGCTCTGGGCTCTGAGCTGTCAGCACAGAGCCCGACATGGGGCTCGAACTCACGACCCACAAGATCATGACCTGAGCAGAAGTCGGACGCTCAACCGACTGAGCCACCCAGGCATCACAAAGAAGGCACCTTTTAAAAAGTGGGATACAAACACATGATTTTAGAATGAGTTCTGTTATCCTACAGTGTTTTGTTGCGATTTCTTTATAAGATGCCTTTTTTTTTTTTTCAATCACAGGAAAAAAGTTTCAAACAAACTTGAGCTGAAAGGTAGCTCGTGGGGCACTTGCGTGGCTCAGTCGGTTAAGTGTCCGACTCTTGATCTCAGCTCAGGCCATTATCTCATGGTTCATGAGATAGAGCCCTTTGTTGGGCCCTGGGCAGAGAGCACAGACCCTGCTCGGGCTTCTCTCTCCCCCTCTCTCTCCTCCCCTTAAGCTTGCACTCTCTCTCTCTCTCAAAATGAAAACAAAAAAACAGTAGCCAGATTTGTGAGGCCCTTTTTGCTCAGCCTCAGGATGACCACATCCCATACATTTCTCTGTCATCACATGAACTGGGTGTTCAGCCATTAACATGGAGTTTGTATACTATATTCTTAAGCTTGCAAATCTGAGACAGAACACTTCAGCCAAGGATCTCCTGCTTTCTGAGATAAATTTTGTCCATAAAATCAAGCTGCCATTACACTGAATTTTTAATTCACGTCGATTCACATGCCCCAATTTAAAGCCAAGGCTTTTAATACACGTTGCACAGTATATTTTAATTCAAAATTCCCATTTTAAAGTAAGAAAAGCTATGCATGTGATAATAATGCTTTTGTGAGTTCTTTTACAATGTAACGGGAGTAATGATATTAGCTCATGATTAAATTATGTCGTTCAACTTGCTGAGACAACTAAATTACAGAATTATTATAATTATGGAATTAGTGAATTATAGAGTAGACATTGCGTGTTAATAGTTGAAAGGGATTTGTGTTTCAAAGGGGTGGAAATGGAATTCTAGCTCTCAGTGGGAAGCTGTGAGAGAGGAAGAAAGCCCGGGTCTGCTGTGCCCACCAATTCCCCGAGTGTAAATACCCCCAGCGCAGCTGAGCTCACGTTAGCAACAGTTTAACAGCTGTGGGGAAGGTTCCCGACCTACCAGGAGCTGGCTCCAGCATGGGCCTGCTGTGACTAAATCCTGATCCTACATTTCTCTTTTCTTCTCTAAAAAGTCTTCTGAGCTCAGGCTGCAACCCTCTTTTCTTTTTTTTTTTAATTAAAAAAAATTTATTTATTAGAGAGAGAGAGAGGGAGAGAGAGAAAGGGAGACACGGAATCTGAAGCAGGCTCTAGTTACATACAGTTCCTTCTGCACAGTTGTCTCAACCTGGTGCAGAATGAGGTCAAGGGGACGGGTTTTTTTAATTGCTTAAGTGTTTATTTATTTTTGAGACAGAGAAAGAGAGAGAGCAAGGGAGGGCAGAGAGAGAGAGGGGGACACAGAACCCAAAGCAGGCTCCAGGCTCTGAGGTGTCAGCACAGAGCCCGAGTGGGGCTCAAACCCACGAATTGTGAGATCATGCCCGGAGCCCAAGTCGGATGCTCAACCGACTGAGCCCCTCAGGCGGCCCTGCAACACTCTTTTCTTTAAGAATTACGTACCTCGTCCCACCACAGAGTACGGCAATCACTGACAATGTCCCACCAAAGAGATCCGAGCTGATGGAAGCTGACCCACCCAGCTAGCACCAGTTGCCTCTGCTTCCTGTAGTTGACAGGTAACTGCGTGCGGGTGACAGTCCCACCTTCCTCTCGCACCTCCACCACCGCGGCCTGTGACAGAGCCAGCCACACAGCCTGGTGTCAGGCAGGGAATCTGGTCTGTTTTGCTCACTGGCAGATACCATTCTAGCACACTGGATGCCACACAGTAGGTGCTGAAACATACCGGCAGGAGAAACACATGAACTACTGAGTAGAGCCCCACAAAGCCGAGTGTGACAGTGCCTGACAACAACCGTCGTTACTGAGTTTCAAGTATCACCTGAGAGGCAAGGGAGAGAGGACTCATAAAATCGATGGCGTGGACACCCCTGGGCTGGACGGATGCCTCAGGCGCTGGAGCGCCGCGATCCCCACTTTTCTGTTATCGGTTCAGCCTTTCAGGAAGTGCACTGGAGGAAATGTCACCCGCGTGTGTCTGGGCAGCAAATTTCATCCCAGGGCCAGCTGCCTATCACAATCTGGGTCTTGTTTTTCTCACTTCCTCCTATTTTCTGTCTCTCTCTGTCCCTTGTGTCTTTCCTCCTCCACAGAGTGTTTCTCCAGCCCCTGATCCAATCTGTTCCTTCCGGGCTCTGCCCGGGGCTGGGGTTGGGGGTGGCGGTGGGGGTCGGGGGCTGGCGCTATGTATATGCACTTCTCCAAGGTTCGGGACAGGATAGGCGCTTCCTTACAGAAACCTCGTTCTCTATGTTTCTTATAGGCTCCGTATACCAAGAGGTGGGAAGCAGTAGACCTCTCATTCACTGGAGGTCTCAGACCTCCACGTGTCCCTTAATCTAAAAGAGCCCCTGTGTCCATGCCGAGATTTGGAATCAGGGACACGGCGACGGGACAAACAGAACCCTCCCAGGTCGAGAATCCTAAACTCGCGTTTCTCTCTTACTTATCTTCCAGAAAACGTCACAAGGAAGCGGCCCGGCCTTCCAGTAGACACTGTGAAGGGTAAACCTGGTGTTGTCTCTGTGGCTAAGGGAAGGCTTGCAATTTTCGACTTGAAAAATCAGGAAGAGGCTGTTCTTTGAATAAGCATTTGGTAAACGGGCTGGGTGAGCAGGTGCGGAGTGCGTGGTGGTGATAACCGGTATGGAAAGCGCCCGAGCTCAGGAATGAGCCGTCAGCTGGGAGGTCCCCGCAGAGTGTAGCCTCCAGGGACAGGACCCAAGGGACAACAGAGAAATGGGAGTTTTCCTTCATCTCTGAAGGTGAAACGGGTAGACTGCCCTCAACACCCACCCACTGCACGTACAATCCCAGCACAGTCGCCAGCTTTCCAGGCTCCGCGCATCTTAGGGCTGCGAACATCACTGTGATTCAAAGATTAAACACATGGAGAAACACCTGAAGCCCGTCCCTGCACGGAGGACCACCACTCTGCTCTTGCACGCCTGCTACAAACACAGCTCAAAAACCGCCATCGGAAAACCCTAATTCTATCCCATTTCGGGTACGGGGCACGCTTTTTAAACGACACCCAGTTTGGCACGTACACAGTGACATTGAAGCATTTGGACTGCGCTTTTAAAGACCTAAATCCAGCTCATGATCCGCCATCTCCGAGGCTTTGGAGAGACTGTCGCGTGACCATCTCAACGCCACTCTGCATGAGAGCGTGAAGCTACCAAGTGCTGGACGGCAGGCATGGGGGGGGGGGTTGTTTCAGCGGGGCTTTGGGGGGGGCACTGAGAAGGCCAGAGAAGGAGAGTCCTCCCGGGCAGAGGAAGCCGCAAGCAGGAGTCACATGCCACCCACAGCAGGGGGGGGCTGCGGCGGCTGAGACTCAGAGCCACAAGGAGCGGGAAGGTGGGCAGCTCGTGGGACATGGAGGGCTGTCAGCTGGGGCTTCCTCTGCCTGAGAGTCAGAGCTGCTCACGAATGACTGTCTGGATGACACCCTCGTGCCTGCACAACGACGGGACCCCAGCGAACAAGAGAAAACAGGAGGAGCAGAGGCTGGAAACAAAGCACAGTCACCGTGCTGAGGCATTTCCTGGCCTTTGCAGAGCTAAGCCCTCTTGCCCTTTCAACTTGCTCAGCCCTGATCGCAAGCCAAGCAGAGGCGTGGGAAGGTGTGTGTTACTCACTGTTCCGAGGACGCCAGCGCACGGCATTTAAGTAGAAGTTGCAGTAATGGAAGAGAAACTCGTGATCCGAGTGTTGGGTTTTCCCTTGAAGCAGGGGCATCAGGTCACGTCCATCAATGATTCTGTGGGGACAAAGCCAGCCAGGCATCAGGTGGCAAGTGGCCACATCATCCTCGGGCTAAATCGCCCCAACTTTTGAGCTGCCCTTCCTGCAAATGAGAGCACCATAGAGTCACCTGGTCATAACTGAGCAGCCAACACAAAGAACACTCGCTGACCCCTGTCAGGCACCATATGCAACTTAGCGGGGCCAATTCTGCTCTTGTATGAACTCAGTGAATCCTCCAAGTTGCACCAGGAGTTGGGACCATTATCATCCCATGGTGACGAGTTGAGGAAACTCAACTTGGCCAGACGGTGCCAGTCCAAGGTCATGTAGCTAGGACCGGCCACTGGATGGAAACCCAGCTGATTGGGTAGCCATGCTCTCAACCACTCCCCCCGCTGCTCGTCCTAAACCCAACTTCTGCCATTGCCTTGGCACACGGGAAGCTTTATTCCCGAAGTACAGCTCTCGTGAAAAGCAGGGTATCTAACTATTTGTGTTACGAAAAGGCATGGGAGCAGCTTGGCTTGGACAGAAGTCAATGGAAGCACATTTCTAAATCAGAAGGAATTAATCTCTAAGAGAATAATAATGCTGATGATACTAGATACCCTTTGGATGCATTGTTCCCGGATACAAACATCTCTTGTATGACTATCTAACCAGACCAAGGGGAACTTTCCAGACTGCAAACAATTGATGATATACAATTGGTTAGGAGCAAAATAAGATTATTTGGCATTTAAAATAAGGGGAAAAAAAAGCCTAACGTTTTGTTTTGAGTTAAACATACACTAACAGCCACTAGAACAGCTCAAGTCATTGGTACCATTAGGGCCATGCCATCAAAACAAGGGGCTTGGGGCGCCTGGGTGGCGCAGTCGGTTAAGCGTCCGACTTCAGCCAGGTCACGATCTCGCGGTCCGTGAGTTCGAGCCCCGCATCAGGCTCTGTGCTAATGGCTCGGAGCCTGGAGCCTGCTTTAGGTTTCTGTGTCTCCCTCTCTCTCTGCCCCTCCCCCATTTGCGCTCTGTCTCTCTCTGCCTTTCAAAAGTGAATAAATGTTAAAAAAATTAAAAAACAAAACAAAACAAAAAAACAAAAAACAAGGGGCAGAGAGCTACTTTGTAAGTGCTAGATGGTCTCAGCTGAGGATTATCAGGAGGAATTCAGAACCTGGAAGTCGACCTTGGTTCTATAATTTGGGTTAGCGTTCTTGAGAGGCTCTCTGCATCCCCTGAGCTTTGTGTGTGGCTTATTTTGGTGTCACTAAAAACCCCTAATGTAATTATAGTCTCGTTGCTTAGCACTTCTCTGGCCTCAGCCCTCGTTATTAATCACGTGCTCCGTGCAAGCCCATGGACTGAAAATATTCTATTATTGTGAGTTAAACATAAGAACAAAAGGCAGACTTGGCCCCCACGCCTGCATTCCCGTTCACCATGGGAGGAGGAGAGAGAAGCAAGGTAGAGAGACGCTTCTATCCAGAAGCAGCACGCTCTCTGAAATAGTATTTCTATCCTGAAATGGCAGTGATTGCGCGTGGGTCTGTCCAAATCCCTTTGGAGAAAGGCTCAGTCCTTACTAACATGCAATCCTGAACAGCGTGTTAAGAAAGGAAGGGATGAGATGCGGTGTGTAGCTGCCAGCACCTGAACAGGAGAAGCTCCTGGTGGTGGAAAATGACCAGGGGGTGGGGACACAGAAGGACATCATCCTGTCCCCAGACCTCCACCTCAAGTGCAGAGCAGGCCTTCCCCGGAACCCTCGGAATGGAGACCAAAAGTCCATTCCCAGGGCACAACATCCAACTCTATTCCCTTATTCTTTGGATGTAGAGATAGATCTTATCATTATTATTAAATTAAAATTTTTTTCTAATGTTTATTTCTGAGACAGAGAGAGACAGAGCATGAGTGGGGGAGGGGTAGAGAGAGAGGGAGACGCAGAATCCGAAGCAGGCTCCAGGCTCCCAGCTGTCAGCACAGAGCCCCATGCGGGGCTCGCACTCACAGACCGCGAGATCATGACCTGAGCCGAAGTCGGATGCTCAACCGACTGAGCCACACAGGCGTCCCTGATTATTTTTTTTTTAACATCCTATACCTAATGTACTCATCCCTAGAAGCAGGCAATAAATCATGCCACTGTGAAAAGCCACCGTTTGTTTAAGAGTGCTACAGAAATATGGTCTGTCAAAGAGAGGCTCATTTCTGCCGTGAAAAATTGGAAGTGACCCCACTGCGCTCAACTTTTAAATGGTGTCGAAGCTATCAAAACACTTGGAATTGTTTTAAACAGCATGTGTGAGTCACCGATAACCGTGGCCATAACCCAGAGGCAGCACATTTCCCCTGATGCGGCCCGGGCGGAAATGCTTCCATAACGTCGCGATCTGTGGGACCAGGGACGAGGCACTCTCAGAGCGACACGAAGCATTGCTGTTTTCTATTGAGAAGACTCTTAATTGGGACTTTTCTGCCGGTGAATTCAAGTTTTCATAGCAAGTGTGCACAGATAGTCCCTGCTATGAAATTGGATGAGTTCTTTTGTAGCCTCCGCTTGATTCTCTGAAAGATGTCTTCATTTGAAATTGTTTTTAATTTGGAAAGTGAGGTAGAGACACTCTCCATGGGCTCCTGACCCGCAATGACCGTCATGATTTTAAGCACTCATTTCCAGGCAGCTGATTTCAGAATGTCACATCAAATTAAATACCACGGGACAACTGTCACATCACTGCAAAGAGCACGTTTCGGGAACCTTCCTTGGGTTGCGGTGACTTCCTTCCCTGCCTGGATGTGCTGGCCTTTCTCTTAGTTGTGAACCAGCACATAGTTTTCCTGGATGTCCTTGACTCTGCTCGACTCTGCCTGGATGTCCTGAACTCCGCCTGGCCAGCTCTCGGAAGGATTTAGGGATCACAGGAAAGGGGAAAGCTTTGCAGAAGGGGGAGTACAGACCAGACAAGGTTTTGGGGACTGACAAAGAGGCTAATTTGGGGTGCCACGTTGGTGAGATACCTGTGGGACATTCACAACAAAGTGATTTCTTCACTAGAAAGTAACAGTAAAGGGAGACATTTTTTGGAGAAAGTGTGTGTACCTTTAATAAACTACAGGAAATTCCAAGTAAACCAGGAAGTTATTTTCATGATATAAAAAATTCCTCCATTCATAAACATTGAACACGCTGCCTAATTTAAATATAAAGCAAGACCAATCATGAGTATTCGTACGTACAGGAAGAGTTTCACCCCTTTTCCTGCAAAACGCAGGGGAACTAGTTTTATGTGTAGGACTCTATTGAAGTAGTCGTCCGCAGTTGCCTGGCCATTGGGCAGCAACGTTTAATGGGAGAATGAAGTCACTTCCCTGGTCTTCATGAGACAAAAATGATACTCCTCATTCAAATACTGACTTCTTTTCCTAATGTGAACAGAGTCAAATTTTATTTTATATTATTTAGGAGATCTAAATTTTATTTAGAAGATCTAAATTTATGTTATTTACAGATAGGAGATCTAAATATTTCACCCGCAAAACTTAATTCTCAAAGATATCAACACCCCCTTTTCTTTCCTCCCAGCTGAATGGGCTATGGCCTGAGTTTAGATGATTGCCAAAGGCTTCACCAATTATGGCATGTTGCAATTCTTTATCAGCAATATCTGTGAACAAGGAGCTTGGTCACAGGCTTACTGTGGTGATAGTCTATCTGCTTGCAAAGATGTCCTGATGGGAAGGCTTTCATTTTCATGAATTAATGCATTTTATTATTATACTCTTCTTATGTAAGTCCCTGTTGCCTATGCTTTATATCACACACACACACACACACACACACACACACACACTCACAAAGGTTGCCCTTCATTTATTTCCAGAATCAGCTCATTTGGAGACACAGGGGGGGATGATTTTTCAGAATACGCCTGGGGTAATGGCCACCAAAAGTTCTTTTGATAAACCTGTGTGGCGGAATGCAAATGAATCACTGAAGTATGTGTGAAGGCAAATTCACTGTGAACAGGGATCTCATACAGACACACTACAGGGTCAAATTAGAGAGGGATTCTCACCGTAGCGCTGACACTTTGCAAAGCGAAAACCTCTTATGTGTATCCCTGACGACTGCTCTTTTGACCTAAGTAGAAATCCTGTGCTGAAGGGTTCTCATCTCCTATTGAGCTCTGTTTGGGCAGGAAAGCCAGCTACCAGATGCAAAACGCTTCTTGAGAACGACAAGGTTGTACCTGAAGGCTAGGGGTCTTTTGAACAGAAATCCTCCTGTTGCAACAAAACACCAGAAAGATGTTAGGGCACCTCGTTAAGCTCCCGTCAGACAGCTCGGGTTCAACCCTTGAAGTGAGTTTATTCTCCTGAGGAATGTAAATTTAATACTGCTCAAGCAAGAAATCAGGGAGGCTGATTTCCACCAATCTTTCTGGGAGAGAGTTAAGGCTGTTTTCTCAAGAGTAGGTATTTGTGTATCATTTATAGATGGATATCCATATGGGAATGTGGTCCACATGCTTTCATTGAACCGTTTTGCTGAGGTTAATCTATTGTAACAATATTTTCCATAAAGGAGTAATAATTGAGCCTCCAGACAGGCTTCGTCAACCTCAGCACTACCAACATAATTGGTTGAATTATTCCTCCTTGTGGGAAGACGTCTTGTATCTTGCAGGATGCTTAGCAGCATCCCTGGCCTCTGGATGCCATTAGATGCCAGTAATTCTGGGTCAAGACAATCAAAAATATCTCCAGGCAATGATAAATGGCCCCTGGTGGGGAAAGAGTCACCCCCGCGGGGAGAGAATCATACCGTTAGATGTTCCAAGTCTCCAGGGCAGAGATGTATAAGGATGTTTTCTGGACCTGGTTTGCACTGTGATTTAAATAAGATATTGTGTGATAACTGTATTTCCAGGAAGGATTTCAGTTTTCTTATCTGAGTAGTCTCTAGGATTACGGTGGCATTTTATCAGGCCTTAAACCTGAACCCAGAGACAGTATTGTCACATTGACTTGGGCCAAAAAGTATCCGTGAGATCCATGAAAAGCATCTTCAATCTTGTGGAGGAGTTGTTATAATCAAATATTGTGGGCCTGCCGAAGAGGGAGGCCGCTTCCTTCTTCAATGTGCACGAACAAGGAAAACAGACTGACCTCCGTGAGCCTCAGATTGGCGTGGGAGGGAAGGGCCAGCAGCAAGATTTCCCTTAACGGATTTTCCTCAGCCTCTGATCTTTTCCTTCCCTTGTGTTTCCACAACTACATGCGAACCCATTTAAAGACACAGGGAAAGCAGAAGCAGTGCTGATTTTAATATTATGAGCCATGAGAGAAAAATGTAATTAATGAAATCACCTCAACACTCTGCGTGAGCTAGTTAAAGAAAGATTAAGTTTTACATCAAGGGTCAGAACAAAGGGCCAGTGAGTAGATGAGATAGAAAGTGAGAGTTTTGCCTTCACATAAGGAAAGACTTTTTAAGACTTTCTGCTGCCATGTTTTCTGTCATTGAGGCAGAAAAAGTATTTGAACAAAGTAGATGTTAAAAGTCCCCTTTAGCCCTCAAATCTTGTGATTCTATGGTCCCAGATGCACATTGAATGAACTCGGCCAACATTGACATGCTCTTGTGACTTTAGTCCTCCCATTGAGCCTGCAAGGTTGGTGCTGTTATTGAACCCATGTTCCAGGTGAGGAATCAAGGCCCACTAAGGTAAACACTTACCCAGCAGTGAGGCCGAGATTTGAACCCAACCTGCTGTCATGCACAGCACCACGTGCTCTCAAGAGGGTGGCCCAGACACCCCTGGGGGATCCTTTCAAGAAGTCTACGAGGTCAAAACTATTTTCGCGTGAACACCCAACGTTCTGTGCCCTTTGTGCTACATACAGCCCCTCCAGGAGCGCGCAGTGGACTTTGCCAGTGGACTCATGGCAGGAGATGTCATCATCCCTGCTGTCCGCGGACTGAATGTGGCTTGGGCGCTCTCGTGCGTTGAATGTTTTTTCAGGTTTAATTGCTCATAGGATAAAGGATGATAGGCATAACGCACATACACAAAACTTCTTTGGGTTCCTCAGTCACTCAAGAGTGGACATGGGGGTTGAGAACACAAAATTTGAGAAGGGCTGAGCTCTCTGAAGCTGCCTGTGGTGCGTGCGCATCCACACACGTGTGTTTGGGGGAGAAAATACGCCTCAAGAAAAAAGTTGAGAATAGTAAGGAAAGAGTGAACAGTGACACAATCTTAAAAGCAATGGGAGATCAGCAAACCCCTCCCGGGACTCAGCTCGGGCCAAGCTGTGCTTCCCTCTCTGGTTTCCCGTTTCCTCTTGGCTCCGCTGGCCGCGGGATTTAAACAAAATTTGCAGCCCGCCTGCATGACATGAGCCTGGTCTGCCACCAAACTAATGAAAACAATTAATCAGGCGTGCTTCCCTTAAAACTCTTCAGATTGGTAATAACGCTTAAGAAGAAACCATTGGCAATGTCATAGGAAGTTGTATTTAAATTTAAGAGAAAGACGTTTCGTTTAGAACGTGCTGACTGAAGGCATGCTGGGAGGGAGGGCCGTTAACGGCGGAACCAGCTGCCTTTCTTGCTGCTGCAGCAGAGAGCAGCTGAGTGGGACCGAAAGGAAGGTAGGGGAGCAAAAACACGGGCGGCAGGGGGGGTAAAAGAGGCGTCTGCCCAGCTACCCCCAGAGCCCGTGGACGGCGCGGCGGGAGAGACAGGGGCAGTGGCGTGTTCAAAGCCTTCGGTTTGTGAAAGCCAAGGACCGTGCCACCGCACCACACCCCGGCGTTTATTACCCACTGGGATAATGGGGTTGACGGCGTTTTTACACCAGCGGCCCCTCCAGTGAGCCCCATAACGGGACGTGGGTAACGAGTGCAGTGGCGACAGACAGCACGCCGTCATGCAGGCAAACCGAAAGCGCTCGCCCGGTGGATGCGAGGGAGACGACAGCGCGTGCGTCTGAGTCACAGTACCTGTCCTCAGGCAACGGAGCCCCCGCCAGTGTGGCCACCGTCGGAAACACGTCCATGTTGCTTGTTGGCTCGTCAATCTCTAGTCCGGCCTGTATCACTCCCGGCCACCGAAGAATGCCAGGAACCCGGATACCCCCTTCCCAGTTGTTTGCTTTTCCCCCTAAAACGTCAAAATAAAATAAAAGAGAGAGAGAGAGAGAGAGAGAACAGGAAGATGTCTTTTCAAAGCTTGGTTTAAGGCTCATTTCAACGCACTCTTCAACGTCCAACATGGGGCGGGTGATTTGGATGAACAAAGTGCTCTACTTGCATGGATTCAGTGAGAATTTTGTGAGGAACAGAGCAGACAATGGGGTGAAAAAAACCACATACGACATGGTCACTATTATGCATGGCACGCGGCTGGCACTGCCCGGTGGTCATGAACTAGGGCGACTCTACTCTCACAGCGAGAGAGGACTCAGGTCAATGACCATGGACTCACGAAGCTGACATTCCATTTCTACTTCTCACCAGGTTAGCAGGAAAAGTAACGGTCCCCCAAAATGTCCATGCCAAATCCTCAAAATCTCTCAGGCCAGGATTATTCTGGAGGGCTGGGAACAGGACTTGTGGGCCGGGTCTCCCAGTTAAGGTGAGTCCACTGGTCTGTGTTTCTGCCACTGAACATTTCTAAGATTTCCAACTTCCCAGGAAGTAATCTCTAGGCTCCTTGTGTGTTTAGTTGATGGCATTCTTGTGCCCTTAGAAACAATCTCCATCTTTTGTGAGAGACAGGCTGGAAGGTGGTACGAGGGTGGCCTTGACAATGGACGAGGGGGCCCACGCCAACGAATGCAGCTGCCTGCACATGCTGGAAAAAGCATGGAAACATATTCTCCCAGGTAGCCTTCACAAAGGAACACAGCTGCCAACACAGAGCTTTGCACAGGTGGACCCACCTTGGGCATCTGAACTCCACACCTGTAAGATAATCTGTGTTGTTCCGAGCCACTGCATTTGCGGTGTTTGTTAGTGCAGCCGCAGGAAAGGAAAACGCCAGCTGTGCGGCTCAGACATTTGTGCCTCAGTTCCCCCAGCACAACATTAGGTTGACAATTACATGGAATCACCCCAAGTGTCACGTCCAGTGTCTGGAACAGAAGAAGAGCGCCCAAATCGCCATTTTCACCACTGCTATTATTTTTGCTAGCAGGATAGCCCTTACTGTTTCGGTGAAGAAACCAGCTTTGCCCATAGGAAGTGACTTGACCATAAGCAAGTAGAGCGTAAATGGAGTGTGGGGAGACGACGGAACGGTGAGCTCCGTCCAGAGTGGCTCTGCAGACAAGATGCCCTCCGAGGCTTGCAACTAATGCACCTGGAGGGACACAGGCATGCCAGCACGAGAGCCCAGAGAGGCGAGGGCCGGACCCCAAGCCATGCAGCTACCACAGGGACAGGTGCAAAACCGGACGCATGGTTTTCGCCTGAAGTAATTCAGCATGGCTTTAAAATGAGCTGAGCACCGCTGAACACCACAGGAATAACCACGCTGGAAGCTGGGCTGGAGACAAGGGAGCGAATGGATGTTCAGCTACTTCAAAGTACCTTTTTCCAGCTTTGTAAGATTAAGTAAAGAGTTAAATTAAATGAACAAGTTGAGACATAAACTGATGTGCAGCGGGAACAGAACGCATGAGTACAATGCATGGTTGACAAAGGACGTGAGTGCCACTTAAACTTCAAAATTTGGGGCACCTGGGTGGCTCAGACGGTTGAGCGTCCGACTTTGGCTCAGGTCATGAGCTCACAGTTCGTGGGTTTAAGCCCCGTGTCGGGCTCTGTGCCGACAGCTCGGAGCCTGGAACCTGCTTCGGATTCTGTGTCTCCCTCTCTGTCCACCCTTCCCCTGCTCCTGCTCTCACTCTGCCTCTTTCTCAAAACTAATAAACATTAAAAAAAAATTTTTAAGTTTAAAAATGGAATACAGGAGACAGAGGTTTAAGGGATCTTGAAGCAAAGCTTCACTTCTTAATGCTGGTTTTTAATGACTGTGCTGGTTTTTGAATTCTGTCCATTGCAGAATGAATTGTAGCTGACGACTCTGGACTCAACTCCTCTACAAGCAAGACCTTTAAACTCTGGGCACTAAATGTTTTATACGCATAGACATCAGGGTAGACTCACATAAAAATTCACATTATGCTTTGCAGTTTCCATGGTGGCCCCCAGGAAAAGTTAAAAGTATTGCACTATATCTTCTCAACATGATCTTAAGGTAATTATCTGACCAATACTACTATTCTTGCATCAGAGACACCACATCAAAGAATAGGGAAGTTCAAATAATTTGCCATAATTTATTCAAGCTGTCAGTAGCTCAGGGAGCTTCAGGAGGACGCTCACGGTGTGAGTTAGTCTGACTCTCCTTCTACGAGATTGAGCACATAGAAGTGTCACTTGCTTATGCGAATAGCAGACCGGGCTCACAGCATTTTACCTGCTCATCCTTCTAGTGGATCAAACTCGGAATGTGCACCTGTTTACGCTTCTACCAGATCAAGATAGTAGGATTTTCACCTGCGTATCTGAACTCATAGACTTTAAACGTGTTTATCCATATACTGGATCAAGTTCATGGACTCCTCTGTTTATCCTTGTAGTAGATCAAGCCCACAGAATTTAAACTTGCTTATCCATCAACTAGATCAAGCCCAAAGACTTCCATCTGTTTATTCTTCACGATCAATCTCACAGCTTATCACATGCAAAATCCTTCTACTAGATAAACCCCAGACAATTTTCATTTGTTTATCCTTCCATAATATTTTCCCTTGCTTATCCTACCAGATCAAACTCATAGATTTTTCATCTCTTTGTCCTTCTATGAGATTTAGCTCATAGCATATGCACATTTCTCTTACCAGGTGAGTCTCATAAAAGTTTCACCTTTTGTTGTACTAGATTAAGCTCATGGAATTTTTTAAATCAATTCTACTGAATGAAAATCATACACTTAAATCTTATTCTTCTTCAAGTTCAAACCCAAAGGACATGCACCTGCTACCCTTCTAGATGAACTTCATAGGATTTTCATCTGTTTGTCCTTCTGCAAGATTAAGCTTATAGAATATGCACATGACTCTCTTTCTAGATGAACATCAAATAATTTTTACATGTTTCTCCTTCTGTGGGATCCAGCTGATAGGATACGCACACGACTATCCTCATAGATCAAGCTCACAAAATTTTCACGGCCATCCTTCTAGATAAGACTCATGGGATTTTCATGTTTATCCTTCGACCAGATCAAGCCTGTAGAACTTCACTGTAAATTTAAGAACAACAAAATAAGTTTGCTACCTAACATAAAGATCTTGTTTAATTAACGGCTAGTGTATATATTTCTTGCCCCACTGGTTAACATAAAATAAAACAAATAAATCAGAAGGTAGGCCAAAATACCACAAAAACAAAAAAGAATCTTTTAAAATTTTTTATCTTCTAGATGCAACATGGCATTGCGGATTGGATTCTGAATCAGAAGAGTGCTTTAGTGCAAAACGTATGGTTAACAGTGATGTACCAAAGTTAATTTCTCGGCAAATAACAACGGTTATGCAGAAAGTTAACACTGGACGAAGCTGGGTGCAGGGAAAACAGTAGCTATCCTCACTATCTTTGTAATTCTGTCAATCTATACTAACCCCAAAGTAAAAACTACTAAAGACACACATAGAGATGCTATAAATATACGTGTGTTTCCCCGGTTAACTAAGTACTTGGCATTCTCTAGAACAAAGCAGGGAGAACAATACGAATTACTTCACAGGGTTTTATACATACTCGTTCTAATGGCTACATGTTACTGATCACGTACCATGCCATATGGACTATGACCTGCATTTTGTCACTAACTCCTTACAACCACCTCACGAGGGCGCGACTATCACTCCCCATGTATAGACGCAAACTCTGATGGTCTATAATATGCATTTCATCTCACTGAATCCTTCCACCTACCCCACAGTGGTGCTACCATCACTCTCCATTGTGTAGATGCAACACCCGAGGGGCTGAGGGCAGGTAGATCCCGAAGTTACGGAGCCTGCTTGGGATTGTCTCTCTCTCTCCCTCCCTCTGCTCATCCCCTGCTCACTCTCTTTCTCTCTCTCTCTGTCTCAAACAAATAAATAAACATTAAAAAAAAAAAAAAGAAACTCGGAAAGACAAATCTGAACTACAGGATTAAGAACCACAACCCCGGGCACATTGTTTTACCCTTCCAGAAGTGAGGGAACAGGTGCATCTTCTTTAAGGAAAAAGGCAGTGTTCAAGGACGGCTGACTGGAGCTCACCAGGTGGAGGCACAGGGACACCTGGCTGAAAATCCACATGAGAGCAGGACTGGGAAGTGCCCAAGTTCCCACGTCTTGGCTAGATTTCCATGTCTTGGAATGAGCATGGGGCACAGATGTCTCTTCAAAATTCTGACTTCATTTCCTTTGGATGTGTACCCAGCAGTGGGATTGCTGGGTCATACGGGAGCTCTGTTCTTAATTTCTTGAGGGAACTCCATACTGGTTTCCACCGTGATTGCACCAGTATGCATTCTCACCAACACTGCATGAGGGTCCCCTTTTCTCCACAACCTCTCCAACACTAATCTTTGGTCCCAACAGCTGAGATATGGAAATAACCTAAATGCCCATCAATGGATAAATGAGAAAATGTGAAATTATACACACACACACACACACACACACACACACACACAAGGGAACACCAGGCACAGAAAAGGAGGAGGTGTTGCCATGAATCCACATGGGTGAAGCTGGAGAACATCATGCCCAGTGAAATAAGCCAGACACAGAAAGATAAATGAGTCAAACTCATGGAAACAGAGAGCAGAATGACAGTTGGCATTGGCATGGGACTGGGGAAATGGGGAGATACTGGTCAAAGGGTACAAAGTTGAATACGTTCCAGGATCTAATGGGCAACACGGGGGCTACAGCTAACCAGACCTTATCACATCACTGCTTACATGAAAACAGAGAGATCTTACGTGTTCTTACCACACACAAAAAAAAGAAAAAAATGGTGACCGTATGAAATGATGGGTATGTTAAATAACTTGGCTGTGGATATCATTTCACAGTGTATACATACACCCCA